TTGTTTTTTTTTTTTTTTATTGGAAAAAAAAAAAATTAAAAAAAAAAAATTTAACCCCGGGAAAAAAAAAAAAAAAAAAAAAAGATAAATCTTTTTTGAAAGAATTCAAGTAAAAAAAAAAGATAGATAGAGAATATATAATTAGCAATGAAAATGAAGCTTATCTTTTTGTTGGAAGATTTTTCAAGCAAAGAAGAAGATTCTTTTCATTCATTTCATTTCATTTCAATCCGAAAAAAAATGATGAACTTTTTTTAATTTGAATTTTCTTTTCTTTTTAATATTTTAATATATCTCTTTTTCATTTCACATTTTGAGTTTTCATTTCACACACACACAGAATTCCAGAATTTTGGTTGGTTGGTTGCTTGGTTCATTCAATTCAATTCATTAATTAAATTTTGCCTTCTTTTCCCCCCATTCTGTTTAGTTTTCTGGATCAAACTGGATGACATCAAGAAAGACAGCAAGAGAGAGAAAAAACAAGTAACCAACCCATCCAGTTGACTTTTTATGAAAATTTTCTATATAAATTTTTTGAAAAAAAAGGAAATTGAAATGCCAACCAGTCTTTTGGCTTGATGTAATTAAATCCTTTTTTCTTTTCTTTTGTTTTTTTTGCTTTGTTTTGTTTGAGAAAAATCGATCAAAAATTTATTTCCACTCTGATGATGATGATGTTCAGTTCAGTGAAAGTTCACTGAACAAAGAAATTTTAAAAAATCTGTTATGAATTTTATCAAGAAACAAAATGAATGAATGAACGATCCATAAAAAGGATTTATTATCAATGAAAACAATAATTTGTCGCATCTTCATCATCATCATAAGACAAGAATGAATTTTACAAAATGAAAAAAAATTGATGATTAAAAAATTGAAAAAAAAACTCTAATTATATACATGCTGTTTAAAATGGGAAAAAAGAAAGTTCCTTGCATCAAACAAAAAAGACAAATAATAATAATTAAAATGTATTCAAATGATTGAATTTGATTCTTTTCAAAGCCCAATCTAATCAAATCGTACACATTCAAATAATGATTTTGGGCTTTAATCAAGTTTTCATTTCATTGAATTTTCTATCTTTCTTGAAATGTAATGCGTGTGTGTGTGTGTGTGTTTATCCAGATGTAAAACTGAGGAAAAAAAACTGTCAAATCTTTCAACAACAACAACCAACCAACTAAACAATGAAGAATATATTCAATATTCAAAAAAAAAACTTGGATTTCTTTCTTTTAAAATCATATTGGATGCCTATATATGATGATTATTCATTCATTCATTTTGGTCCAAACACACACAGACAATTAATTTGAATTTCAAAAAGATTCTACGCCTTCTTTCCGAAATTTTCTTTAGTTTCTTGGCAAGATTCTTTACAATCACTTGTTATTATTATAAATTCAAAGCAAGGAAATTTTTTTTTGTTGTCAACTTGGAAAACGAAACAAAACGAAAAAGTTTCATTTTTTTGTTTTGTTGCTAAAATTGGAAAGAATTTTTTCACAAAATTCTCTCGCATTCAATTCAATTGAATATGGGAGAAAACGGAAAGGAGAAAAAATTCAATTCCCCCCATACATTCATTCATTTATTCATGCAGATTGAGAATTGGAAACAAAGATTTTTTTTCGATAAGTTCGTCCATATTTGGTCTAGGGGGGAATGAATGGAAAAAGTTTCTAAAAATGAAATGAAAAAATAATTGTTGTTGAATTCAATTCGAAAAAAATAAAATTAAAAGAAAATGGAGGGGGGAAAACGAATGAAATTGTGAGAATCTGTAAATGAGAATCAGAATTGAAAATAAGAGAAAAAAAATCAAATGAATTTAAATCGAATGCGACATCAGAGAGAGAGAGAGAGAGAGAGAGAGAGAGAGAGAGAGAGAGAGAGAAAGATCCATTTATGTTGTTGTTGTTATTTTCAAAAATAGATACCAAACTTTTAAATTAATGATACGAAAAATTTAGGTTTTTTCCCATGAAAAAAATGATGATCAAGACTTTCAAATATGATGATGATGATAAAGTTTATTGATTCTAATATATTCCTGGTCTCTCTTTTCACAACAAAAATTATCATCATTATCATTATTAAAAGCGACAAATAAAGAAAAACTTTTCTGTATTCGTTTATGTATGGTTGACCAGTTAAGTAGTAAAGAGGAAAAAACTTGACAAAAAATATTTTGATCACATTTTAATCAACTTATTCAAATGAATATTTTGATGGACGTCTGGACAGCAACAGAGAAAATAAAAATTCTGGTATTTTTCAATAAATTTTATGACCCAGAATATGGTTCTGTTTTATCCAAAAAAAATTCTGTCCATTTTTTTCACTTTATAACCAGAATCATTGTGGATATTACATAAATAAAATGACTGCAAACAAAAATTTAATGAAGTAGAAAATAACAAAGTAGAAAAGTGAATAGAAAAAACATTCAGATGTTCAAACATTCAGTTTTTCAACAACAACGAAAAAAAACCATTTACAAGAGAAAAAGCTCTTGAATTATGATGTTTTTGTTCAAAAAAAAAATGAAAGATATTAAGATGTCATCATCATCCTCAACAACAACATTATCGATCAACTCGAATTTTTGTGAAACCACCATGATGATAACATTTTTCGTTCACTTTAATATCGATTTTTTGTTTTCTGTTTTCAAATAATAATCAATCTTCGATCAATGAAAAAAAACAAAAAACTAAAGTTTATTATCGATAGTATCGATACTATCGATTTTCAATTTAATTATTATTAATTGAATTTTGGCATCATTTTTTTAGAAAAAAAACTAATTAGAATAAAACTAAACGATTTAACATTCACAAATGATTATTTTAGACAAAATTCTCAAGAATTTTATTTTTCTTGCTTCTTCTTCGTAATTTCATTGAATTCAATGAAATTACTTTTTTTTTGTTTACGGTTTTTTGTAAATCGATTTTCGTTTGGTTAAATTCAATATAAAAAAAAACCGTTGAAAATTCAATAACTATTTAATGATGACAGAACAAAGTTTTGCTTGTTAATTTTTTTTTCTTCACTGTTTTTTTATATTCAAACAAGCAAAAAAAAAGCAATTATCGATTCGAACAACAACAACATATGTAACAACAACAACAAAAGTGAGATAATTATATTTTGCTTGTTATTCGAGAATCTTTCTTCATTGTTAATTTGTTTGTTTGTTTTTGTTCATTGATTCATTTCTGATTCAAATACAGAATAAGAAAGTATTTGAAAGCGATAATGACAAAAAAAAATACAATGAATGTTTTGTCGCATTTATATTACGTTATTACGTTACGTCAATCTAATTTGTCAATTATAATTTTTCTGTTATTTTTCATTAAAAGTTTTTTTTCTGTTTTTTCATCAATCGAAACTTTTCAAACTGAAAAAAAACTCGCTAAACCATAACCGATAATGATTTTTGTGAATTTTTTTTTACACACATCTCTTTCTCTTGCATAATTGATGAATTTAGAATCAGAATCATTCTGAACTAGAATATATTTTAGATGAAAAAATATGAAATGTTAATAACAAAAATCTACTCGTTATTATTTTTATTGCTCAAATGATGTTCATTCAAGAAATTTATTCCATTCAATTTGACTTTTTCATTCATTCATTCAGTTATTTATTTATTCATGAATATTCTTCAAGTATAATCTAGTCTACATCCACACAAACACACACATTCATATTCAAGATTGTTCACGCATCGCAAATTTTTTTTCATCCTTCACTGGTATCATTATCATTATCATTATTATGATCATTTGAATTTTACTTGAAAAAAAGGGTTTTTAATATTAATAAGTTTTTTTTTGCTTGATTTTGGTTTTCGTTTGTTGTTGTTGTTGTTGTTTATATTCATTAAATGATAATTTCCAATTTCCGAAAAAAACACTTTAAAAAAATCTACAAAGTTAAAGTACATTTGCAGTTGAATTTTTCTGAAATGTAAATATTTTATCCATATGAAACAAAACAAAAAAAAGATTCTTGTCCACCATGTGTTTCACGGTTTCTAACAAACTTTTGGTTGTTTTTTTGTTTTTGTTTTTTAAAATCATACTTTTGAACCAAAGAAAATTTAAAAATTTATGATTTTCTTTTTCCATTTTTTGTTTTTTGATTAATAAAATCCATTTCGTTTTTTTTTCACTTCATTTTTTTAAGCTTTCAAGATGACGAAAGAATGAAAAATTTCACATTTTTTATTTATTACTTTTGAATTTTATGAAATGAAACTTTTATAATCCATATATACTGATGGTATTTTTTTTTCTTCAAAAATCTTGTTTTGAACATCTTTTTTTGTTT